TTTTTTAAAGCTATTTTTTCTTTTAAAAATATATGGCTTTTCCTTTAAATCTGTCTGATTGCTTGCTCACTGCCTGCTGGTTTTTGCATTTGTTTAGTTTTGATTTGGCTGTGTTACTGCATGTCACACATTGACTAAATGCTACTTTTTGCAAAAGAAATATGTATGCAATAGATTTAACATAACTTTTCTTAAATGTGTTAGTGATAGTACAGCCATTGGAAGCTGTATGGGTTTTAAGGTAACTGGAAGAAATATTTACAATTTGAACGTGAAGTTGGATGCTCAGTATTTTAGCTATTCGGTGTAAAATAATTAACTAATAAGACTTTTTACAACACTAGTTCTTAGCATTTCTTTCCTGCCCCCCCCAGCCTTCCATTTACTTAAGCATTACATTTCATTGCCATCTTTGAGAACTGATGGCACAGGTTTTTGTAAACTGAATATTTGCATTTGAAAGTCTAGAAGTGTGTCCATTGTGTGGTGTCAATGCTGGATATAACACAATTAGCATTCTTCTTGACCATCTAGATTTGGTTGCTGCAGTATAGAGTATGGGGACAGTCAGTGGAAACTGTACATGGAGAACCAGTGGCAGATTTGGGCCTAACTAGTTAAGAAGTCCCACTTTACAGACATAAATTTTCAGAGAAAGGTTTGCAGAGATACAATTTTTTGACTGCAACTTACAGAATGAAACTACACATGCTGCATTGTAATGTACGGTACAGTTCTGTATTAGCTATTGTTGGAGGTTGCTCTCAGTTATTCAAATTTAGAAACATTTTTAACAGATTATGAAAATCTTTCTTTAAGCAACAGACACTACAAAAGAATGTAAAGTATTACTGTAGGTTGTCAGACTTTCTGATTTGTAGTCCATCATCAGCATTGAGAGTTAGGTTTCCAGATATCTCACATAAACTACATTCCCAGTGAGGAGAATTTATTTTCTTTCATTGTTTAAATTATTTCCGAAAGCTGTGCAGTAGAGGAGTTTCTCAAATCTTTCAGAAAATATGTTCCAAAACTTTTGCAGTTGAACCGTTAAGAAAATAAAATACTGCGTAGTCTGTTTCCAAAAACTAAAAACACTGTATGGTTAGAAACATCTTCTTTAACAACACAGCACTTGGAAAGCTAAACTGTAGTTTGAAGAGACTCCCCAAAAGTGATTGTTTGTCACCATTTAGCCTTAATTAGGTTATGTGTTGTGCACTCGGATCCTACGCTGACAGGCCATGCAAAAAATAAAAAATAAATAGAATGGAACAGAATTGCCATCTTACATATTAAATATAATAATATTTTTTCTTGCCATTTTAAAACTATTTTAGATCAAGAAGTTCAGCGACTGAAGATAGGAATGGAATCGTTACTGGCTGCAAATGAAGAAAAGGTGAGATAATGATATAAGTTAGCATGTCCATATCTGTATAGCCAATACTGCTGTGACTTGGAGAGTTTTACTTGAGATTATGGGACCTACTGGGTTGGCCTTGCCTCACCAGCCAAGGTACAGCACTTACAAAGTGCTACTTTTTCTGCAAGCTCTTTCATCTGAGAAGCAGAGGTCCAGGGTTTTATGTTCATTCCTCCTTTTCTGCCTGCAAGATTTAGTAATCTCGGAACAGCAGTTTGTGGCCTATCAATAACTTTCCCGCACAATTTTCCATTATAAAATCGGAATCAAGTTCCCTGTGTGATAGGAAGTGAGTCAAAATTGTCTGTTAAATCAGAAACTGAGGTCCTAGGAGCAGCACAGGATCTGAAGACTGCCAAGAAAGAGCATTGCAGTATTTGACCAGCTTCAGATTCCAATGTATAAAAAGTGCTGCTTATTTTTGCAAGAGAATTCAGCCTTGAGGGATTTTTTGTTCTTAATAAATTTAAAATTAGAGCACTCTAATAGTAATTATCTAGGCCATGATGAGCATCACTAAATTTTTAGTGGCAGTATGTATGAGGTATAAGCAAATGGCATCCAAAAGCATCCCCCCATATGGCTTGTTGCTGTAAGCAGAAAGCACTGAAAGGGTAACTGATAATTTTAGAGATTTAAGCATCTCATAAATGAATGTGATTTATAACAGGCTGTGCTGCTTTAATTCTCAGAACCGCCAAAAATTACATCTGGACAGTAAGACGTGGCATTATCTTCTGGCAGAGCTCTTACAAGTCTGTGTGATGTTGTTTTGTATCCTAAAAGGAACGCAAAATATGTTAGCCCACTTCTACTGTCAGAGGCTGTGTTTATAAGGATGGAATGGCTGTTCTATTAGAGACTGTAAAGTATTTAAACACGGGAGTAGTGGCAAGCCCAGGGGTACTTATGTGTATTATTCAGAGTTGCCGGTTTGTGTAGTCTTGCAAAATGAAACATTCCTCCTGAGAGAAAACCCTCTCAGAATTATTTAAATTCAAATGACTCCATTTCCCATTTAGGACAGTAAGTGAAGTAGTCAGAGGCTTAATTTATTTTCAAGTAGCTGGATACTGCTGTTTTGAATTTTACATGATACGCACATTTTTATTTTTGGCCTGGACAGCACAATCTGTCCTCTCTCATGGAGAGATGTGACTTCATTCATGGTTAGGCTAGAAGCGGGATTTCTTTTATGAGCCTCTTTTACCTAAATACTCAATGCCTGTGAGGAGGATCAATATCATCTGGTCCCCTTCCTACCTGTCAAACTTCCCCTTTCTATCTGAGTATGTCTACAATACACTGAGTGATCACTCTGTCTGCAGTGTAGCATAAACATAGGCCACATAGAGATTTTTCCATCTGTGCCAGGAGAAAAGTCTATACAAACAGAGAGCTGTACAGACATTCAACAGATACCTTGCAGAGAACTGGCTTTTCGCATGAAATTTAAATTGCATAGCTATGAGGAATATTTTCCTCCTGCCAGTCTGAATTGAATGTTAATACACTTCTCAAGTAAGGATGACACGCAGTATCCTACAGTCCTCTCTGCTTTCCCTCCTTGTCAACAGCTACAGCATAGACCTATCCCTCTATGCAGTGTCATACACCACAGTAACATTTAGCTAGTCATTCTGTATTTACTCGAATGCAAAACATAGGGATTAACATGTGGGAACAAGTCCCTTGCTTTGGATTCAGCTACGGGGAGTGGGGCAGGAGGGAAGAGAGGGGGCAGGATGCTGCTTAGGTTCCAACTCCCACCCTGACCCAGGCTTGGAATTGAAGTTGGAGCTGCAACTGCTGCCACCTCCTGCCCCCATAACTTTGGCCCAACATTGTCCCCTTGTGTCTGCAAGGCCATTTGACTCCTTTGCCACCTGTCTTCCTGCCACTACTTGGCCCACTGCAGTGGTGGGGGAGGGAACACATTTAAGATAACCCCAGTCTGTCTTTAAGATACAGAATCAGATTCTGTATATGGAAAATTATAACAAATGTATCAATTTTTCCATGTGTAGGATCTAGTTATTGGGAGGGGTGTCATCTTAAATTCAAAGTCCTATTGGATTTGGGTAAATATGGTAATATGCATAGCTTATCTTATCTATAAATTTATGAGTATTAACATTTGATACTCTGTACATAATGTTTTCCTCTCCCCAGGATCGTCGAATAGAAGAGTTAACAGTGTTGCTAAGCCAGTACAGAAGGGTGAAGGAGATAATGATAGCAGCCCATGGTAAAATAAGCATTGCAAATTATATTTTGATGTCTGATCTTTTCAAATATTGTGTGCTCTGTAATGAATATTCTTCATGAGGCCATCAGTAGTAGGCCTCAAAGAAATGCATAAAGAAGTCTGTTTAAGGAAGCTCATTATAGAAAATTATAGAAAAATAATTTATATCCTGAAAATTATATGTATTCCATTTTGGTTCATATACTTTACTTCATATCAGAATCCTGGGGTCAAAGCCCACTGGGAGATTTGGCTTCTATTCAGAGGGACTTGTGTGGGTGAATGTTCCTATTAGCTTCAAAACTCTTCAGTTGTTTGTTTTACATCATTTAATGGTAAAGCCCCAGGTTGGATTGTAATTCTGGTATTCTGTGGTCTACTTGAAATTGAAGATTTTTGTAAGTTAGATAATTTTTAATTGTTGTTTGTTTTACAGCATTTAGGAACTCCAGTCCGAACTGGGCTCCAATTAATTTTGAGATTATAGAATCCCAGAGAAAAACTCTGACCTCAGAGCTCAGTACTTGAACAGAACAGTAGCTGTTATAGCAAAAAGTGGGAAGAGAAAGGAGAAAAACAGCAAGATAGTTAACATGGGGTTTATCTATGTAGACATTCAGGAAGGTTAGTCTCAATTAACTAAAAGTGTGAATTTGAATTGCATTAGTTAAACTGCATTAAAATACTCTATAGACACTTCTATTCAGAATTAACATAGCTGAAGTCTGATTTACCTTAATTCACTTTGGAAAGTCAACAAAGTGCATTGCTAAATGTTGGGCATGGTTTTTTTTCTTCTTGTAATTCTAGCACATAAATAATAGGTTTCAGCGCTGCAAGATGACTCCAAGAGACGTTAATGGGATGATGATGTCCTACTATTCAGATTTCATGCACATTAGTCCAACTCCAAATGTTGCAATAGTGATCAGATATCAAAGAGTAAGCTAAAGTAATGGTTGCAATGTGTTTCTGAACAGGTGGTTGTTTTTCTTTTATGTAAGTGTTTTTACAGTAAGCTTGTTACAAAGAACTTTGTTCTCAGAGGTAATTTGACACTATTAAAGAGAGCCTTTTTTCTTCTTTCCACATAATGCTTTGTTAAAAGGAGAGATAGCAAACATAGTATAGTTTGCCAAAACAAATCCTCACTGCTGACTTCCTGGGCAGCTGCTGTTTTGGAAAAACTTGGCTTTAGCAAGGTCTTATAAAGCATTCTCGATTCTTCTGTCCTGCTGGCCACTGCTCTTCTGAAGTTAGGTGGAGCAATTCCAGCCAGCAGGTACACACTGGTTAGGGTGGTGGACTTCAGACATCCTGTGATGCATCAGCAGCTATCATTCAGAATGGGGTCAAGGCACTTAGCATGTATGGATCTCTCCCATACCGGGCATCCATGCTCAGCAGAGGAGATGCTGAGAGCCAGAGCAGTGGTTTGGATGGGTGAGGGGCTACCACCCACTTTCAAGTTGGTGAGTTTATACAGAATATTGTTACAAGCGCTCACTTTTGCTTTTGTCTTCATGATGTGCTCTTTGCATGAGAGGGTTCAATTGAGGGTGACTCCAAGGTAAACTGGATTTGGACAGCGGGATAGTCGGGTCCGTGACCATGTAATGTTGAGCTGGTGGTTTGCCTCATTGTTTTTCAGATGCATACTTGTGTTTTCACTGGGTTGGCATGTAATTAGTTTTCAGTGTAGTATGATGTTAGACCAATTAGTGCCCCGCTTGAGGACTATTTGATGTGGTCAAAGCCCGCCTCCTCCCCACCCCGCCCAGCTCAGCAACTCCAGTCCTCCTGGGTCTGGGTGGGCACCCAGAGTCCCCCCATGGCTGATTGCCAAGCCAGAGGGGTGGGGGGCACGTGGTCCTCAAACTGGACTGGAAGTACTTCCAGCCCACTTCCAGGTTCACCACCGAGTCACGAAGGAGCTCCCCTGCACTCCTGTGGGATGCTCCATCCACCCCAGCATCGCAGTGTTCATGAGCCGTGCTGGTACTTTGAGGTATATAGAAAAAACATTTAAAGCTGTACCTGTGTCTGAATTGCTGATTTGCTGAATCAGCACTGAACCTTCAAATTTGGATTTGGCCAAATTGAATCGGGGATAGTGATCCGAATCAATGAATCAAATAATTGTCCCTGATTTGGGCCGAATCCAAATCGAATAGGGCCCATTTCACACATCCCTAATGTACAATGAAAGACCTTGCAAAGTACAATAAACAAGCACAAGCATGTGTAACAAAATGGTCAGCTGTGGTATAGAGACATGAGAAAAAGCTAAAATATTATTTAATTAGGAGTTGCTAAAGATTTTCCTTGTCCAACACACTAATTATGTTCTGAGAATGGGTGGTGTTTTAGGGTAGTCTTATTGTGAGTCACTCACTTTATTATTCTTCTATCTATGAACGATAATTTGGGCTGCAGACTTGTCTGTGCGGAGCTGGGTTTTGATTGTTGCCCCTATTCCAATTTAAAATATATTTATTTTCAATCATTTCTGAATATGTGCACAATGGGGGGGGGGAAAGTAACGCAAAAATTAAGTCAGTCTATTTGTACAGGGCCCTTTTTTGTTTTTATAGGAAAAACCTCTTGTCTGAAAGTGCCTGAGGATCTACCTATCCTGCAATTGAAGGGGCAATGGCAGCTCATGTAAGCTAACCTGACCTAGCTTTAAATTGTTATTGGTTCAGATACCAATATGAGAGTAGCTCATGACAGCATGGACTTCAACACCTCCCTGGATAAATGCTTGGGAGGCTCAGGTTTGAATACGTAAGCTGTGATTGCACATTTAGATTGCAGTGCTTTCCCTATGTTGAATTTGGCGGGGGGAGGGATTGTCTTGGAATCAAGTAAATAATAGCAATATGGTTACCACTACTGATTTGGTGCTATTGTAAGAAATCTTATTGTGCTTGGTTAGGTTTGGGAGATCCTCTTGAACCTGGAAAATATTAGTCAGTAAGTTTTTAGCCTTTAAACATGTTTGCCAGTGCTGTTATTTGTTTACTACTTACTATACAGTAATGCAAGACTGGAAGAGAAGGCACACAGTCACCAGATGTTTTTCTTGGGGTTGTTTTTTGGGGGGGGGTTCCCTTTTCAGAAGGCTAAAAGTCAAAAAGGAAAGCTGAAAGTAATTTTCCTGTTTCTGACCTACCTTCCATTGTGTTTAGTTGCTAATCTGAATAGGGTGTTTGTTAGGCAGTATTTGTTCTATGTAATTATAATCCTTTCCAGAGGTATAATGTAATTCTTATGGGTTTTTCTGAAATACAATCCTGCTATGACCCAGTTTTTTTATAATTAAATACAGAGCATTTTGGAAAAAGTCTTTAAATTTGTTAACTTATGGAGGAATATTACAAATTAATTGGCCAGATACCTGGGTCTCTCCCAGGATTCAGAACAGTATTACAGGTGAATACAAAACAGCTTTCAAAGTTTTTATTTATTATTTTTGAAGTTTGTTAGATTTTATGGATTCTTTAATATAGTCTGTCTTGACAATTCTCTACTTAGAGAAACATCCTAAAATTGTGGTGAGGCTAATTTCTTGTTTGTCTAGGTTTGGTTTTTGTTTTACTGGGAGGAATTTGCTTAGATTTTCTGTAGAAAATCTTAGCTGTTTAATATAGGGGAGAAATTTCAATCAGCATACATTTTTAAAAAATCTCCTCCAAACTATATCAGAAATTCGTATTAATGTAAAGAAAAAGCAAAACGGTTGCGTGCATGTATGACTTTTCTTTTATCTCCCATAAATGCCTTACCTATTGATATAAATCAGTATTTTATACTTTCTTAGAACAGCATCCATTGAAGATGAGTTTTGTTAGTATATGCCAGTGAATGTATAGGTTCTATAAATCCAACTAATAATGGATAGCAGAATTACTATGATGTTGGTTTATGATCCATATCAGCTGATTGCAATTATCTTTGGACTTGCTGATTTATGGTAAAGAACCCTGAAACTACACCGAATTTCTTGCTATAAATTACTGAGTCCTGACATCCTGGTGTCATACTTTTGTCAATAATAGCAATACCCTCTGGCTAGTTCACTTTTTCCACAGACTGGCCTTACGAGATTAGCTTCCATGTTAGGGAAATTTTAAAACATTTACACATTCGGTTCTGTCATTATTTAATTTAACTGTAGTGGATTTTCCACAAAGATAGGAAGTGCACATGTGCACAAGATCTGTTCAGATACTACTTGAGCAAGTTATAAGTCTTGACATCTCTACTTTGAGTCATTCTACAGTACTGTAGGGGTTTTAAAATGTGTTATTATAACAGGCTAACTCTCAAAGGAAACTTTATTCTGCTCAGATATTCAGGAGGTAGACATATCTCTTCTTTTTCTAAATTAGGCCAGCACTCGTGATGGTGTCTCTGTCTCATGTAACTTCAGCATCTACTTTAGTTTTACCTTCCAGCTGCCCAAGTCTGATTCAGGTGTGTTAATGGCTGCATTGACTCATAGTGTAGATTTCAGGGAATTTAACTTACCAGAAAGTTGATCACAAATCTGGAAATGTTGGTTAGTTCTGTGCAGCATCTTCAAATGGTGGAAGGTATCATACTACACCTGGTACTGAAGGATCCAGCACCTGTGGGGGAAAGTATTCTGTAGGTTGAGTTGTAAAACAGAGACTCTAATAAGAGCACTATCAGTGCCTCAGCTATGGTGAAGAAGAAAAAAACTTTGTTTTTTTCCTTCTGTGCTCTCATCATTCTGGTGAAATATGAACCATCATTATCCACATTCGTAATAGTTTGTCAGGCTAAAATAACCCTTGACTTTGAGTACTGGAATGTCAGGGTAGGTATATTTCTGTGTTTATATAAATTTCTAATTAAGACTTCACTTTGGGATGGAGCAGGAGAAACTAGATTATGATGGAGAGCTCTTATTCAAAAACACATGCCTTTTACTAAAGGAATGCAGTGTTTTCTCTTTATATTTTCTCCATTTTTTAAAATCACACTGTAAAGGGGGTTATAGGGCAGCTCTTCATGAACTTGTAAGAACCCATTTAATATTCATTTTAGTCTGTAAGCCTCCTAATGTACCTTTGACCTTTAATTCTGTCAGGCTCATCGGACAGAGTTCTGTCTGGTGGTAGTGAAGAGGAACTTGAAACAAGCTTGAGGAAGTGGAATCCTGTGACTAAACCCCAAGGAGAACTACTTAAAACAGAGGTATTTAACAAACTCATTATTTAAAACTAAATCTCTCTTATAACAGCCCTTGCTCACACCCTTGATCTTAGTGTTTTGCCACAATATAACTCAGCACAGAATTTGTCCAGGGGTGAGTTGTATGTTTGCTGGTTGCTCTTCAAATTCAGATACTGCATATGGATTAGAATCATGAACTGGGCCTTATATGTTTCACGTAGGTACCTCCAGCAGATGTGTCACCAACTCTGGTGTCGCCAGTAACAAAAAAAGCTCTGGAAATCAGGCAAGATCTCTGTTTCATGTTTTCTTTGTGAATTATAACTAGCACAAATAATCTATATATGTATTAATAAAATAATATTAGATATAAAGATAATATATTATCTTGCATTTTCTTGTCTGTGACAGGATGAGGAAGTACTGCTTGTCATGTATGCTGACAATGCTGCTTTAGTTATGTTGTATATTGAGAAGTATAGTTAACCACAAAACTTAAAATAAGCTATTTTATTCCGATTAACAGCGGAAGTATTCCAGTTCCTTCAAATAACCTAATTTCTCCACATGAGGAATCTTCGGAAATCAGAAGTAGGCAAGTATACTATTACTTGAAAAATGTCCCCCAAGATTTGGTTGAAATCTGCAGAACGTTTAGCTGGAAATCTTGTGATTTTTCCATCAAATGTTGATGGTTTTAAAGGTTCCTGTCTATTACAAATTACTCCAGGATTTCTGTTTTTTGTCCTGATGAAACGCCCTTTAAACCGCTACTAATAGATACACCATAATGTTATGTTAAATATTAAACTAGTTTTACTGCACCCTTTATTTTTGGATCTGTCTTGGTTTCCTGCTGTCTCTTTTTTTTCATTGGCTAACTTGGCTAATAAAATGTCAAAATAAGTGAACAAAGAACTAAATTGTCTATGGATCCTATGATCATAAATATAATCATCTGGGTAGTATGTATTATTCCTCAGCAGTTGTTTTGTATTTATTCTCAATTTTTTCTCAATTTAATTTATTGTGTACTTTAAGGGTTCCACAGAAAAAACTGTCAAGTAGTCTAGAGGACTTGCAGAGTGAATCCCTGGAAAAGGTTAGTTTATAAATAGTTCAAATTTTTCATATTTAATGTCAAAACTGAGAAATATACGTCAAATATAGATATTGACTGTTTGTAATATACTTGAGCAACCAGTGCCAATACTGAATCTACAAAAAGGCTTGTGACGCTGTAATTCAAAATATTTCTTTCCCCACGTCCAAACTTAGAGTGAACAAAATATTTGACTTGTCCGCACCAAAACATCCTAAAAATAAGCTGTGCAGCTAAAAAAGATGGAGTATGCAAAAGATGGAGGAAGCAAAAACTGCACTGAAGTGAAATATATTGAATGTGTAAATAAGAATGAGAATTAATCTTTCTGTGATTAGGTTAAGGGCATATGTTCTTTCAAACTGGTGCAAGGCTACTATTTGAATAAGTAATACTTTTTTTTTCTTTTTAAAAGTAAATATTTTTATGGAGTGGCCACATTAGCACTTGTACTTCCTCAAAATATTTTATTTACCTATATTTCACAGTATTGTCTCCAGATCCAATGTCTAATGCTGTTAGTATATAGACATTCATCTCCTGCTAAATCACTGTTAATGTTTCTGTTTTATGAAATTCTACAACGTTTCTTCGCTGTTGTAGATTTAGCTTACCAAAAATTTATAATGCTTTTTCTGATGTAACAATCGTGAACACAATTAACATGTATTTCTTTTATGTATGAAATAACTTTTATTCCAGAGATGAAAGATAACCTACCTTTAAAATTATTTTAAAATAAATTAAATTACTAAATATTGAGGCAAAGTAACTATTTCTGCCCAGGATTGTGATTACTTGTAAATATATTTATTACTTCCTATGCTAGACATCTGATATATATGAATGGCATTACTGAAGCTGGTGTTGCTGTTACCTTATTTAAACAGGGGAAGCAATATTGTTAATACCAAAACTTAAATACATTTCAGTTTGGCTTCCTTTTCAGCTTGTTGAAGTCTTTATTTCCATACAATCATTTGGATCATTCTGGGGGGTTTCTGAGCTATTATTTCAATTTTGCCTGAGTATTGTTGATTTTTAGAATATGCTGGGTTGTAAAATACTAGTTGTCCATGCACATTAATGCCATTTAAATAAGTAAGCATATCTACAATAATATGGTCAATTCCCAAGTTTCTTCAAATTTCCTTAAAATCTTTTCTGTTCTCTTTTGAGTTTTAGTATGACTGTAACTAATTAAAATGTTTGAAATTCATTTTGCACACATTTTATTGCAGTGATACAAATGGCAAATGAATCAAGGACTAACATTTTTAGTTCCTTGTAGAATGTTAAAGGTCTATTTTCCCCTAGATGTTCTCCTCCATACCCTATTAATGTTAAAAAACTATACATTATTCATGGGTAAGAATTGATCCATCAGTCTGGGGTGTGGGTTGCCAGGTCTCAGAAAAAAGGCATGTAGTTTGAAGAGAAGCTACATACAGAAAGCTGCAAATAAGTTAGTTTAAACTCCAGTTCAGCAAACCATTTATACAACTACTTAAGATGAAGCACATAAACAATCCCAGTGAAGTCTTTGGGGTCTAAGGGCATGTCTACACAGCACCCTATGGTGACGTTGTTACTAAACTATGTTACTGTACCTTTTGGAAGTACTAAAGCAAGATGCACTAACCACCTATACTGTGCCACGTGCATGGCACACGGTTAGTTTTAGCTGCTACTTCACCATAGTGGCATGCTAAAACAGGGGAGCACGCCACTACAGTGAAGTAGCTGCCAGCCATGTGTAGACTCATGTGATTGTTACATCGCCATAGTGCGACATGTAGATACACCCTAAATATTTGTATAAGTGGTTTGCTCAGTATTTATCACTTGTTAATATGTTTTAAGAATATGCTTCCCCACATTACTGAATCAAGGCCTTTATTTTTTGGTATTCTGTCCTTGAGTCCAATGAGCTAATGCCGAGGGTCCTGTCTTACTTGGAGCTACAATATTTTGCATGAAACATAAGACAGTGATACTGATTACTTGCAGGAATTAAATATCACTTGGCATTTCTTTTTTTTTAAATAAAAATTAGTCTAGTCAATCTGACTTAGGTTACCATTTCTATAATTACGTTTCTACTCAAGTTTTTCTCCACAGCTGCAATTGGCTAAGATGTTCTTCCCTTTCTAGCTGCTGCTGCTGCTATAAAATATAAGGTTGCTGTGGGTTCTCAAAAAGATGACATATCCCACTCTAAATCAAGCAACAACGATTTTTGGTTGAGGTGATTCCTATTCTATAGGCCTGATTCCACTCTTGCTGAATTGTAAGACAAAAAAAATCCGCTGGCCTTAATAAAATCTAGATGGGATCTCTGTTTTGTACAATGGTTGGACCTGAAACATTTGATTTTGAATATTTATTATTTTTAATATCTGAGGAGAAAATAGACCTTTTAATATCAATATCTATAAGCAGCATTACTACCCTAGAAATCAGACTAAAACTGTTGTTTTGTGTTTTTTATATGTGTATACTAACAATTGTCTGTTACTTTTTTCCATCAAAACTTTGACATTACCTTCCCTGCAACTCCATAGTATGTAGACGGCAAACCAGTAGACCCTGTTGTAGAACAAGAGGTATATTAACTGTATCTTAACTCCTTTCATATCTGCCTGCTATAAATTGTGATTTGGTTTGGCTCTTTTTTCACTTCACATCTAGTTTTTCTTTAATATTTTGTATTGTTAAAATATATATTTTTTAAGTAAGCGGGGGGTGGGAATCAGGTATTTAACAGAAAAAAAACTTAGAAAGATTCAATAGTTGGAAGGTAAAATTAAGCAGATACAAGAAAGAATTTTTAAGAGTAAATGTTAAAAAAATTATACTAATTATCCACTGGATCAATTTGCTAAGGGATGCAGTGGATTCTGTACTATATGAAATATTTGGATCAAGAATGGGTGTCCTCTTCCTATAGTTTAAACTACAGTTTTTGATTTGATTCAGAAATTAAGTAAGGTTCTCTGGATTTTGTTATGTGAACTAGATTAAAACCAGAAGAGACTATTGTCATAAAGTCATATGAAAACAGGAAACCCGTTAAGACCTTGCTGTCTAGTATATGCTCAATCCTGTTGTACGCAAGTCTGATCCAGCTCCTGTGATTGCAGGCTACAGTAAAAAATCTTATTAATTTCAATGTGAATTGAATCTGACTGTAAAAAATATTACGTGAACCAGGAGTTTATATTTCTTACCCTCACTGGTTCATCAAAGAAGTGGAGGCATTAACCCCCCCCCCCCCAAAAAAAAAAAAATATT